AGGGTGATAATCGATTGTCTAGACATGATAATCGATTATTAAAAGATTCCCTGTCCAAAAGTTTAAAAAACTATCCGTTGGAGGACAACGGTAACCCAGATAATCGATTGTCAACAAGTGATAATCGATTATTGGTCCTCTCAGAAGATTCTGGGTTTTGGCTGCAAAGGCTGATAATCGATTATTGCATAAGTGATAATCGATTATTAAGTGCTTCAGAACTTTGGAAGTTCAAAGCTGCAGGGGCTGATAGTCGATTGTCACTAAGGTGATAATCGATTATCACCCAGCTAAAGTCTAGCCAGCTGAAACCCGTTTTGAAAAACCGAGGTCCAAAAACGAAGTGTTCCCAAAAGTAAAAACCAAGTTTGAAAAACATTGTATATGGTATAAAATAGTGAAAACAAGACTTGTTCGGTAAAAACCAAGTTTCCAAGGTCGTACATCACGTGGGTGCGGTTTTGACCGTTTTTCACGTGTTAGACCGATTGACCAAGATACAAAAGTGGTTTTTATGGAATAATTATTTGGGAACCTTTTAAATATGCTCAGATATATAAACGAGGTTTAAAACATTGAAAACCACCGAGTTGGTTCGGGCGCCAAAAATCGAGCGTCGAACACCGTACGCCGACTTAGGTGATTTTGGTTCTGAGCAAGGACTAGGGATTTTAACAATAAAAAATTTATCAAAAATGTTTATTTTGATGCACAAAAATATTTTATGATTTTGTAAAATTATTTTGACTCTTTGAGAACCGAGACTTGAATTGATTGTCGGTTTTGATCAAAAGACCGACTCGACTAAGTCTTCAATTCTTGATCTTGTCCTTGAGTCTTTTGGGTCTTGTTCCATGCCATTCTTCGCGCCTTGAGTTATTCAACGAAGCTCTTTATATCAACGGCGGTTTGGCAATTATCAAAACCTGTCAGAAATGAACATGACTTTAGTTAAACGTGCAAAGTGTGTTCCAACAATTTCCCCCTTTTTGATAATGGCAAACAAGACGGGGATATGCATAGGGTTTTGTTCTTTTTGAAAAAAAAATTCCCCCTGAAAATATGCATATATGCATAGCCCTTATCTTCCCCCTTTTGACATTAACAAAAAGATTTAATAACAAAAACCATAAAGATTTATATTAATTATTGAAGGGAAATAGAGTAGTACATAACGAAAGCATATTAAAAGATGATAAAATAAGGGAGAGAAGAAAGTAGAGCAAGAGCTCTTAGAAATCCGGGGAAAGATCATTGAGAAGTTCTTCGTCAATGTCTTCTTCTTCTTCATCATCTTCATCACCATCGCCATCATCATCATCATCATCATCATCATTATCATCATCATCATCATCATCATCATCATCATCATCATCTTCTTCGTCTTCGTCCACCGCGTCGTCCCTACCAACGTTTTGAGTCCCACTCTGTTCACCTCCGAAATTCGGTGGAGGAACGTAGGGGACCATTTGAGCGTACGGGTAATTGACAAAGTCAAAATACCCGTGAAGCTCACGGCTCAAGATATTGACGTTGTGTGCCGTTTTGGAGACGTTGGTGTCTATCCGAGAGAGGGTGGTGGTCAAAGCCGCCATTTGCTCGGCAAGAGAAGGGTTGGTTGAAGCGGCGGCGGTCGAGGCAGTGGCTCTCGGTTGGCGGCGAGGACGAGGCTGCGGGAACGTAGCTTCATCGGTTCCCGAGTGGAAGGAAGACTCGTCAATCTCCCAATGCTTTGTTCCTTTGCATTTTGGCCCGACGTCCGTCTTGATGTGGAACTCATCAAGGACTGCCATGACAAGGAGAGCATAGGGGAGCGGCCGGTTGTCGGAGGTGGCGTTGAACATGTGAGTCATCACAAATTTACACCAATTGATATTGGCGTTGTGAATCATCGCATGGATCGTCTTTGTGTCCTCTTGGGAGAGAGTGGTGTGATTGAACTTCCTAGGCTTGAGAATCCGTGTCAAAACATAAAAAATGAATCGAAACACAGGACTCATGGAAGCAATCGTAGGGCGCCGCTGTTGGGGAGTGGGGACGAAGTTTCGAATGCCCACTTCCTCCAAGAGGGCGGTCTCGTTGAACCGCGCTCCTTCTTCTCCGACGTAGAGCCCGAGATCCTGTCCGTCCCGACGAAGCCCGGTGAGGATTTGAATGTTTTCCTCTTTCAAATAGATGTCCACCCCGTTGACGTTAGAAATCAACGCTCCGTCCTCATCCTTTTTCAAGTTCGAATAGAAAGCTCGAACAAGAAAAGGATGGTAGTCGTTCTTCTTGATGTAGAGGAGGTCGAGAAAGTGTCCTTCTTGGAGGATGACCCGTGCCTGGCGTGGAATTGAACTGTGAATGAAGCGGCCTGTGGAGAACCGGTGAGGGAGAATTTTCCGGTGCTCAAACTTCTCCGAGAACCGCGTCGCCTCAGCGCAGTCGTTGAACCACAAGAAAGACCCGTCGATATATTTGTGCGCCGGTGGTGGAGGAGCCGAGGAGGAGGCAACGTTCTTGCCGGTGCGGGATCTTTTTCTTTGACCTCCTGCCATTTCAACAAATATGGGAGGGAGAATTTGCAGGATTTTTGGCTAAAAATTGAAGAACATTAGCAAGAATTGAAGAGATATGATGAATATTTGAGAGAGGATGATTGGAATGAGTAAAGAATGAAGGGATATGACCAATTTATAGTTGAGAGGCCTGGAGATCCGTTTGAGAAGTCAAAAAGGTGCCTTGAATGTAGTTCCAACGTCTCTGTAATGGTCAGATTTTTGAAATTCTGCCGTTGATAATCGATTTACACTCCCTGTAAATCGATTATCTGAGTCTTCAGATTCTCCGCCAAAAAGAACTGCAGGCTGCGATAGTCGATTTACGGGTTTAAGTAAATCGATTGTTGAAGTTTGCGCCTGAGTTTCTTTGAACTTCTGCAGCCTCAAATAATCGATTATCTCAATGTTGATAATCGATTGTTAGCTCCTTCAGATTCTTGGCTCCAAACTTCTGCAGGCTGTGATAGTCGATTATCACAATCTTGTAAATCGATTTACACCAGGTCTGAAGCAAAAATCAATTTCCTTTGTTCCCCCTGCCTTTGACACCTGAAAAATAAAATTTAAAAGAAGAGCCCTGTAAAAAAAATTAAAAACGTCTCCGACGTTCAAGTTAGTAAGGACAAAAAAAAATAACTAATGCACAACTTAGATCATCGTGGAGTCAAGGATTCCGAGTTCACTACGAATGCGGAAGAACGACTCTTTCTCTAAAGGTTTTGTGAAAATGTCGGCTAATTGGTTGTGTGTTTCAACGAACTCAATTTCGACATCACCTTTGAGAACATGATCTCTAATGAAATGATGCCCAATGTCAATATGTTTCGTCCTTGAGTGAAGAACCGGATTCTTCGTCAAGCTTATGGCACTAGTATTATCACATCGAAGAGGGACGTGATCGATACTAAGACCATAATCCACAAGTTGTTGCTTCATCCAAAGGATTTGAGCACAGCAACTACCGGCGGCAACGTATTCCGCTTCAGTTGTGGATAACGCAACACTGACTTGCTTCTTACTAAACCATGAGACTAAAGAACTACCAAGCAAGTGACAAGTCCCACTCGTACTCTTACGGTCTAATCTACAACCGGCAAAGTCCGAGTCGGAATAGCCAAAAAGATGACAAGGAGACCCCTTGGGGTACCATAGTCCAACGTTCATTGTACCAACAAGATATTTCATTATCCGTTTTACCGCCGTTAAATGCGATTCTTTCGGACAAGATTGATACCTTGCACATAAACAAACGCTAAACATGATATCGGGTCTACTAGCGGTA